CACCGCAGTCTTGACCTGCTGGGCTCAGGTGATCCTTCCACCTCAGCCTTCCGAGTAGCTAGAACTACAGGCATGCACCACCATGCCCGGCTAATTTTTTGATTTATTGTAGAGACGAGGTCTCACCAAGTTGCCCAGGCTGGTCTCGAATGCCTGAACTCAGGCAATTTTCTCACCTCTGCCTCCCAAAGTGTTGGGATTACTAGTGTGAGCCATCGCGCCCAGTCTGAGATCAGATCTTAAGGTGAAACAGCCGCAGCTCCAGGGAAGACCAACAGTAAGGGTTGGAAGGAACTAGTCTGGCTGCAGGAACTGCCAGGAATTTGTAATTTTACATTTGAAAATGAAGTGTATTACTTTAAGTTCCGATGGAACTCACTTTGGTCCTGGAGTGGGGATTTCCTGCCGTTTTGCAGAAAGGCAGGTGGATTTGCAAACGGGCCCCTCCTTAACTGGGCCTTAACTTTCAATAGGGGAAACACTGTGCTGTGTGAGTCTGAGAAAAAGAATTGAAACCACCCATTTAGTTGTCTGAGCCAAAACTCATCCCTCTACCCTCTATCCTCTGCCAGATGTAAAGCATCATAAATCTGCTGATTCTGTCTCCAAAATGTATCCTGACTATATCTGCTTCTTCCCATCTCCACTGGCACTTCCTCTCTTGCGGCCCCATTTCTCCCACAGCAGAATATGGGAACCTGGACCACACATAATTCCTAGTTAGGATCCTTTCTGTCAGATGCAAAATAAAATCCAAGCTCCCACAAGGTGTGGGATCTGGCCTCAGCCTACCTTTCCAACGTCCGCCCTGTCACCCACGTTCCCCTTCCTCGCCTGCCCCCACAGCCCTGCCAAGCTGCTCCCACCGCAGTGTTGGGGCACATTGTGTGGCTCTCGTGGCGCCTGGTATGCATCCCTCTGCTCTGTTAGGATCTTTCCTTGTCCCTCATGGGCTTCCCCACCACCTCCTCAAGGGAGGCCCCTCCCCTGTTAGTCTCTGTCTCAGACCCTTTCTTTCCTTCAAAGAATTATCACAATCTGTAACTGCTTTGTCTGTTTTATTCTTACCTGTCTTCCGCATTCTCTTTGTATAAATTTCATGAAGAGACAAGCTGAGGTCTGTCCTGCTGTGTCCCCAGTACCCAGCACCATGCCTGGGTACAGAGCAGAGGTTCTCAAAAAAGATCTCTTGAATAAAAAGCGTTTTTGGTGGTGGAATCTCCAGCAGTCAGGAACTCCCTCTATGCTTCTGGATTTTGAACTTTAGGCAGTATTGTTAATGAGTTAACTCTTCCTGGGTTTATGGCTCAGAGTAGAATAGGGGATTTCAGGAGGCCTGACAACCATTGGCCTGTGTGGGAAACACCTTCCAGAAGAGTTGCAACAAATCTCAACTCTAACCCAGGGATTTTGATTGAGGCCTCGGTCCCAGCACCCAGCTCTGCTGCCAGAGGCTTTCCAAAGCATCTCTGCTCTCCTCTCCCCCTAATGCTCCAAGCCCCTCTCCCAGCCAGGCCCCACCAAGCCTGGGGTCACGGTTGCTTTCAAGCTGAAGCTGAGGAGAGAGCTGGGGTTGGCAAAGGGGAGCCTCGGGGCAGATCCAGGCGAGGGTAGGAAGCTTGGAAGAGCCCACAAGGATGTAGTTGCGAGTTGTAAGAGTTAGCATGCTGGTAGAAACCACCCGGGGCTGCTGGGCACCACCAGCAAGTGAGCAGGAAGAGGGCACGAGGGCACAGTTCTAAAGCAGCATTTACTTTGGTTTTCACTTATCCAAGGACCTGGGAACGTTTTAAAATTCTCGTTCTTGGATCCTGCACGCTCTTTCCATCACGCCTCCTTCAGCCACTGCAGCAGCTGAGGAGTGTAGTAGGTGATGATGATGTCGGCACCTGTGTCAGGAGAGAAGCAGGAAGCGGGGGGCGGGGCAGGGTGTCAGTCCTGAGCACACCTTGTGGGAGAGGAGGGCTGAGTGGGGAAGAAGGGTACCATGAAGTGGCACAGCCTGTAGGTGGCACGACACAAGATGGAGCCCAGCTTTGGGCAGCTCTAGCCCTTGGGCAAGCCATTTTCTCTTTCTAGGCCTCAGTTTGCCAAAGTATAAAATGCACAGTGGGGGAAACAGGTAAGCTGTAAGTTCCCTTCCATGCTGGTGTGCTATCCTAACAAAACCAGCTCCCACTTATGGAGTGATAAGCATATGCCAATTAAACAAATTATCGAACTTAATTCTCAAGATGACCATGCACCAAGTATCTTATCCCTTGCTTACAGATGAGGACACTGACAGTCAGAGAAGTGGCCTGCCCAGGTTCTCATAACCAAAATAGAAGACTCTGCTTTCTTCACTGTTCCATGCTCCACTCTGTAGTTCCACAATCCTTCCTCTATCTTTGTCTGTTTAGATCACTAGGGTTTCCAAGCACAAGACTCCAGGTAGTCTCATGACTTCATTTTCCTATCTGGGCAGATGGCCTATCAGTCCTCGTGGCGCAGGTCAAAAAACCTCCTGCCCGCTTACCTGCTCTGCGGAAGGCAGTCATGGCCTCCAGAACAGCAGCCTTGAGGTCAAATGCTCCAGCCTGGGCTCCGTGCCACAGCATGGCAAACTCTCCAGAGACGTGGTACACAGCGAGAGGGAGCTCGGGGTGCTGCAGAGAAGCAGCGAGGGGCAGACAGGTTGAAGTGGAGGAGGATGTGCCTCTGGGAGTGTCCCTTCATCCCTGCCTAACCTGTGACCACTCTGAGCCCCATGCCAAGTCACCTTGAGCTGATAAATGTGAACCAGATTGTCTGAGGCTCCTGCAAGCCCAGGCATGGAAGGCCACAGTGGTTCCTGGATGGGGATGGGGAAGATTCCTGCTTAGGAGCAGGTTACTTCCACCTCTGAGATTCCAGTGTCTGTGGACAAACTTGCTCACCCCACGGAGCCCCCTTTGTCTCTGGCCAGTGCTCACCTTATCCTTGACCTCCCGCAAAATGTCCAGGTAGGGCATTCCTGGCTTCACCATGAGCATGTCAGCTCCTTCTCGTACATCCCGGTCCTAAGGGATGATGGTATCGTGTGGGCGGTGCCCAGGAAGGAGATTGGGGAATAGGAGAGGGATGGAGGATGGGGTTCAAGCTCTGGTCACTCACTATTGCTCGGAGGGCCAGGCCTCGTGCTCCAGGGGGCAGTTGGTAGCAACGGCGGTCTCCAAAAGCTGGGCTTGACTGAGCCGCATCCCTGCAAAGCAGAGTCATCAGGGTGGGCTCCAGCTTTCAGCTAACAGCCAGGGACTGAAGAGCAGATCCCTGCCCATCCCTACTCACCGAAAAGGCCCATAGAAACAGGAAGCAAACTTGGCGCTATAGCTCAACACTGATACCTATGGGAAGACAATGGGTGTCTGGGCTCAGTCAGCCCTTTCAGATATCCCAGGGTGATGTGGCAGGTAGGGAAAGGACCTGGGCTGGGAAGGAGTGCACCCATGTTCTAGCCCCACTAGAGCTCTGGGCTTGAATTTCCCCATCTGAGGTACAGAGGAGTTGAGATGGATCCCAAAGGCCTTATCCAGCTGTCTTCAGTTCTGACTCTTGGCAGATATGGGAGAAAAGCTGGGCCAGACTCTCTCCACCTCCCCACTTCCTGCACTCCCTGCCCATACCCTGTTGCCAAATCCGTGTGCCATCAGGGCCTCCTTGATGGCTTCCACGCGTCCATCCATCATGTCCGACGGGGCTACTACCTGACATCCTGAGAGGCAGAGGGTGGCCTTCAGAACTCTGAGACCCTCCTACCCACTCTACCACCTCCCTGACCCAGGGATGCCCATCCCTGCTGGTGGCTCACTCACCTGCCTTGGCATATGCCAGTGCTACCTCTGCCAGCCGCTGGCGGCTCTCCTCGGCCCGGAACGCTCCGTTTTCACTCAGGAGCCCTGCAGGACAGATGGCTGGGTTTGGGGAACACTTTGGGCCCTGACCTGTCCCCAGCCTGGGGAGAACTTGGCAATGGGAATGTGGGTAGCAACAGGGCTGGTGGGAAGGAAAGAGCTCACCACAGTGACCATGGGAGGTGTAGGGGCAAAGGCAGACATCGCAGGCCACCAGAAGGCTGGGGAAGGTCTTCCTCAACAGACGGATCGCCTCGACGGCTGGGGACCCCTCAGAGTCAGCTGCGGAGCCCCGCTCATCCTGGGGGTGGTGGAAGGACAAAGCGGCGTGTCTGTTACATGAAGCTTTGGGAAGGCAGGATGGCCAGCCATCACATAGCCTGGTCTTGTCCTTTTGTCACCATCACCCTGGATAAGGAAGCACAGAGGACTGTAGCCACTGGCAGCAGGGGACATGCTGAGACCCAGAGAAGGAATCTGACTTGTCCAGTCAGGGTATTGCAGCCCTCCTTAGTTTTCTGACCCTCCATGGGTGCTGTCTAAAGGGCAGGGACCATGTCCATTCACTTGTGGCCTCAGGATCAGCACAAGGCGGGCGTGAGGATGTGGTCAGTGTGGAGCCTCGGCCCATCCTCCCTTCTTAACCCTTCCTCGGATTCTTCACCTTGGGAACTCTGCTGGGGACGCCAAAGATCAGGACGCAACACAGGCCCTCTTCTACCAGTGGCCTCAGCATCTCTTCTAGTCGGTTCACGCCATACCTGGGGAGGATGAGGGGAGGGGCTGAAGGGAGGGAGGACCCAGGCAGGGGTCCCCCGACCCCTCCATGGCACCAAGAGGGCTCAAGCCCCATAGTACAGGGAAGGGCAAGTAGATACCCACTAAATGGGTGGGAAACCTGAGGCCCCAGCAGATATGAAACCCAGCCACAGAAGGCCCCTTCAAGGTTCTCTTATTGAACTCCCATCTGAAGTTTGGCTCCCTTCTGCAACAGCCTCTGCTAGGACACCTCTAGTAATGGGTAGCTCATGACTTTGTGAGGCTGCCTCTTCCTCTTCCGTTGTGGAACAACTTTGACCCTGAGGAAACCCTTCCCTCTACGAGCTGAAGTCGGTCTCTCTGGATCTTCTACCTCCTGGGTCTGTTTCTGCCCCCTGGTGCCTCCACCTGTGAAATCTCTCCCTCCACCATCCCCTTGCCCTCCCCTCCATGTCTCCTACCTGGCCACTCCTGGGAGGCTGGTGATAGGCTGTATGTCATCAGGAACGTCCCTGCAAGAGTGGGGGATGGACTATGGCTTGGTGGCTGCGGGAAGGGCCAGTGGTGAGAGGGTGGCTGGGAGGCATGGTTGGGAAGCTGGGAAGGAATGTGGAGTGGGACGGTGGGAGGAGGATGGGATCCAGTGTCTGGCTCCCCTGCCTGGCCAAGCCCAGGGCCTGAAATAATAATAGGAACAACAAGAATAACAGTAATGACGAGAGCAACTGTACTAAAAGAACAGTAATCACAGGAAGGAATTAAGTCGTTAAGAACCTGGACTCTAAAGTCAGAAGGTCCTCCTTGCTTCCTATGCCAGTCACTGACTGCCTGGGTGACCTTGGCCAAGTTATAGCAACTCTTTGAGCCTCAGGCCCTTTGTTCGTATCCTGGGTGGATTAATGCATTCATTCAACAGATTTTTCTTGAGCACTTACTATGTGCCAACTACTCTCCTAGGCTCTGATGATACAAATGTGAGTAAAACTGATAAAAATCCCTGCCCTCATAGAGTTGACGTTTAGGAGATAATATCTAATTGTTTCTCATACGCATGCTGTCAGGACTAATGAGATAATATAAGTAGGTATTAACCTGGTACACAGTAAGTATTCATTAAATGTCTATTGCTGTAATTAATAATCACAGTTGCCGTCTCTTACATGTATACACTTTATATTCTACAGAGCACCTTCTCAGCTTCTGTCTGATTGCAAAAACTCAGGATGGCAGGCAAGGGTTATTCTTCTAATTATTCAAACGGGATGCTTGAGTTCTTTCCAAGGTATGTTTTGTTCCTAAGACTGCTGTCCTTAATCCAGTACAGCAAGTCCCCTACATATGAACAAGTTCTGTTCTGAGAGTGGATTTGTAAGTCCGATTTGTTTGTAAGTCCAACAAAGTTAGCCTAGGTACCTAACTCACACACAATCAGCTACATAGTACCATTATAAGAATGAGCAACATCTACTAATTTTTGCCTTGATTCACTCTCAATTCTTTTCACTTTTGTTTCCATCATTATCACTTGGTGCTTCTTAGTAATACCAGCTACATCGGGGCTACTTTTACATTTGCTTCTGGACATCCTGGGCTTGAAATAAAGATACTGTACTATCGTACTCTATACAGTACTACACAGTATTCAAAAACACAACCACTTGTAGAGGAGGCATGCACATGACAATGTATGCCAGACATGTGAACTAACTTATGTAACTGGACACATACACGCAAGTTTGCATCTCTGAAAGTTCACAACTTGAAAGCTCATATGTAGGGGACTTACTCTATGCTACTTCTAATATCTTAGTTTCAAGTTGACAGCCTACTTTGTCACCCTCAGCAATACTGATGCCTGCTCCAGTTCAACCCACTCCTGACCCCATCCCCCCACCCCTCGGCCTGGCAGATCAGAAGCCTGGTCCATTCCTGGGGACTCACGTGACAAAGATGGGATAGATGAGGTTGGAAGCATTGAGGGTGGTGGTGGCTGTCTGCCAAGTCCGAAGCAGTGGGTGGAAGTAGCCACTGTGCAGAACAGACTGGGGCTGCATGATGGGGGCCAGTGGGGGCACAGGGCCGTCAGCTGGTTGAACTAGAAGGCTCCTAGGGTGTCCACTGCATACTCAGTCTGTGGGGGGCAATGGGAGGCTATTGAGACATGTTTTCTATCCCAGGAGAAATTCACACCTGGAAAATGGCTCTTCCAGATTCCTGCCTCCCCTCCTCTAGCCAAGTGTTCCTCATTGTGTGGTTCACCAACCCCTGCTGATCTATAAGGCAAGCAGAGAGATGAAAGTAAGCTTCTGAATGCTATCTTGGCAACTCTGGAATCTAGTGAAACACAACTTGGGCTTGTATTTTCTATGACTGCTTTAAAAAAAATGTTATTTTGAGTTGGAGTCTCATTCCATCGCCCAGGCTGGAGTGCAGTGGCATGCTCACGGCCACCGCAGTGTCAACCTGCTGGGCCCAGGCAATCTTTCTGCCTCAGCCTTCTAATTAGCTGGAACTACAGGCGTACATGACCATGCCTGGCTAATTTTTTGATTTATTGTAGCGATGAGGTCTCGCAAAGTTGCCCAGGCTGGTCTTGAACCTGTGGGCTCAGGCAATCCTCTCACCTCGGCCTCCCAAAGTGCTGGGATTATAGGCTTGAGCCACTGCGTCTGGCTGCTAAAAATTTTTTTTTTTTTT